TTACCCTGGTATTTTTCAGAAATAGCACAGTTGTTTGGGATGATTACAGGCAATCGCTGTTTCCCAGAGATTAAAGTGTGTTTAACTTGTTGACCCGCTGCTCCCCAGTGACTGACTGGGGCATGCCCAGCTGGCCTTCTGTGTACCAAGTAGCAGACTGCGTGAGAGCCAAGGAAAACTAGCCTCGGGGCCTTGGGAGAGACTGACCAGACAGGGCAGATTATGAGAGGGCAACCCATGCATTCCCTTGGGAATGAGAGTGAGGTTGATGGTGGAACATGAAATCTATTCCAACCAAAGAGGCAACCTGCAACTGAGGCTCACCCAACAGACTGTTAGGGCACAGATGTCTCTTAGATTCGTGCTTGCAGTCAACAACTACTAAGAAATCAAAGGTAATCCTTTCCAAGTAGAGGAGAAATCCTCCTTGGAAATCCTGGAGTCTCTGTCCACTAATGTAGCCACCAGCCACGTGTGGCTACTGCGCACCTGAAACGTGGTTAGGTCCCACTGAGATATGCTGTAAGAGGCATGATTTCAGATTCAGGACAAGAAAGGAATATATCTCATTAATTTTTTTTCCCTAAAAGCACATGTGCTCATCAAAGAGACAGAGAGAGGAGAGAGGAAAGCATCCCCCAGTTGGGGATGGTCATGGGCACAATCCCTCTCTCCAGTTCTCCCTCCTGTCAGGATTTTGGGCATGCATGTGCACACACCCAGCATATTTCTCAAGCATCCAGGTCTGAGACTTGAATTATCTGGTCAGCCACGTGGGATCTGACTGTCTCAGCCACCAGGCTATGGAGCCAGTCCCTCATTCATATATTTCTTTTTTAAAAATAATTATTTATTTACTTTTATTGATTATTATTATTTTGATTTGCTATAGGGCACATGCTTTAACCAGAGAAAGACAGAGAGAGAGAGAGAGAGAAGGAAAGTGAGAAAGGAAGCCACCAGGTCTGAGACTCGAACCACAGCTGGCCACGTGAGAGTTCAGCATCTTAACCGCTATACCACTTGCTGGCCCCTTCCCTCATTGGTTTTTTATGTGGATTACAATTTGAGATGTTAATAGTTAAAAATATATTGTTAACTATTAATTTCACTTAATACTTTTTGCTTTTTTTAAAATACTTTTTGCTTTTTTAAATGTGCCTACTGGAAAATTTTAAGGTCCATATATGTCAAACATTAATTACGATTAGGATTGCTTCAGAATCTCACAAAAAAAGAGGAATAAAAATTCCTCTTCATGACTGCAATGAACATTTATCTCCACTTTCTGCCCTGATGACAATGCTCCCCAGCTGTTAACTGATACTTATCCAGCCCTGCTCTACTCTGACCTTCTTATAAGTGGCTTCTATTCGACTTTCTGACTTCTCAAATGACTTCTCTCTAGAGAGACCTGCCTTGGTCACAAATAAATCACGTCCACCTATTCTATTCTCTCAACAGTGCTTGCTTTTCTTGCCTGCCCTCCTTACTATCCCTATGAAAAAGTCTACCATGTTCAGAACTTCACTTCTTGAACTCAGAACAGCATTTTGCTCACAGACAACCCTCAACAAATGTTTTCTGAGTGGCTAAATGCATCCTTAGCCTTCAACTTGATAAAGATTGTTGCACCTTGGCACCCTCTGTTCATCTTACCCTAACTAAGCACCCACCAAAGGCCCACCACTGTGCTAGACACAGACATGTTGGTCTCTGTCCTTAGGGGTTCAGGACCTAGTAGTCTACAAGGACAAAAAGGTCTGCAGAGTTGTCACCTGACTGCCATCAGCCATTTGTTTCCTCTCCCTGTGCAGATTGCTGAGGAAATAACCCAACAAAGGTTGAAAGAAGGTAACCTCAAAGCTCAGGCTTCTGTTTACTGCTAGCTACAGATAGCTGTTGAAAAGGGAGCTCTTCTCTGCTCCTGTGTTTCTGAAAAGCAGACTAGCCATTCCAAAAAGCTATGATTATGGGCAGGATCAGGACATGTATTTCTAACTGTGGAAGATTCTAAACAAGAAGACAATTTGAGTCCAGGCACATGTTTTCAGAGGTTTTTAAGGGAAGACGAACCTCTTAACATATCATTAGATTACAAAGTTCTAGGTCACTATGTTGAGCAGATGCACATTTTCATTTATATGTGTGGGGTGGGGGAAAAGACAAATACATTCCAAATGGTTGACTACTTCAGGGTTGTGAAGAAGGGGTGAGATAGTATGGCACTTTAGATATTTTCTTTGCTTATCTCCATATTGTTTTTAAAGGTGGATAGCCTTTGTACTTTCAGAAAGTGAACAAGGTCATTTTTATAAAGGAAAATTAGAAAGAAATATCACAAAGTTTCCCTGTACTTAATGAATCTACTCTTCACTTCCTAAAGTTTTTCTTCCCTCTTCTTTGCCATGGCTATAAAACAAAGATCAGCTTTTGAGCTAGGGATCAAAATACAGGAAGTAAAGACTGTGCTTACTTCTGGAGAATATGATGATGTCGTGGCTCCCCAAATACCATCCAAGTAAATATACACCTTGACTGTCTTATATTAGTTAGGGCATCCTTAACCTCATTCACTATATGCCCCCTTCAAGGGGAAGGCACCCTTTAGTGGGAGAACCTCTTACAAACTAGGTAATGTGTTTACATCATTCCATTTAACTCTCCACTCAGCCCTTTAAAGATAGGTATCATTTTTTTAAAATAATTATTTATTTGGGGGGACCAGCAATTAGCGTAATGGCTATGTCGCTGGATTCCCATGCAGTCAACCGTGGTTCGTGTCCCGGACCTGGTGGCTTAAAACTCATGCCATGCGCATGTGCGTGTGTGCCCAAAATCCCTAGAGGAGAACAGAGGAGAAGGGATTGCGGCATGGCCATCTCCCCTGGGGGGTGATTTCTCACTTTCTGTCTCTCTCTCTCTGTCTTTCTGGCAAGTGAATGCGCCCTATAGCAAAAACCTCTCAAAAAAAAAAAAGAATTATTTATTTGGGGACCAGCAGATGGCCTAATGAATACATCACTGGACACCCACATAGTCGACGACAGTTCAAGTCCTGGGCCCTGCAGTTTAAGATACAACAGGCATGTGTGTATATGTCCCCAAGATTCTAAGAGGAGAATGGAGGAGAAGGGATTTTTGTGTGGCCAACCCTCCTGAGGGGTGATTTCTCACTTTCTTTCTCTCTAGTGAGCACATGTACCCAATAGCAAAAATCTCTCTTAAAAAAATTATTATTTATTTAATTTGGGACCAGCACTTGGCATAATGGCTATGTTGCTGGACTCCCATGTAGTCGACCATGGTTTGAGTGCCAGACCTGGTGGCTTAAACTCATGCTAGGCATGTGTGTGTGCGTGCCCAAGATCCCGAGAGGAGAATGGAGGAGAAGGGATTGCAGCATGGCCACCTCCCCTTGGGGGGTGATTTCTCACTTTCTGTCTCTCTGTCTCTCTCTGTCTTTCTGGCGAGCACACGCACCTATAGCAAAAAATAAATAAATAAATAAAACCCTCTCTAAAAAAAAGAAAAAATATTACTTATGTTATTTTATTTATTTATTTTTTAAATTTGCTGTGGGGCAAATGCACTCACCAGAGAAATACAGAGAGAGAGAGAAAATGAGAAAGAAAGCTGCTAGATCCGAGACACAAACTGCACTCGGCCATGTGAGACTCCAGCTCCTTAATCACTACACGACCTACTGGTCCTAAAGATAGGTATTATCACTGTCATTTATTAAATGTAAAAGGCAGGGTTCGTAGAGGTTACATGATTTGCCCAAGGTCACAGAGCTAAGAGACAGAGCCCAACTTTGAACCTAGCCTTCTCAACCTTGTGCTCATTCTACCATCATTTGCCTTTTTATAAAGTATAGGGTATAGTGATGTGTTTTGCAGCTGGCTTCACAACTGAGTTAAACTCAATTCTCCATGACAGCCTAATTCTAGGCACCAAAAAGAGTCTTTTGTCATTCAAAAGCATTTTCCTAACTAGCCTTCCTTGGAACCTTCATCAGTAAAGTCTGTTCCATTGGGTAAGATATCTGTATCCCCTGAGATCCACTCTCCAAACATAAGGACCTTTAGAACTGAGTAACATGTACCATCATTTAAAAATCACAAATACTATCAGGAGAGTTGGTTACCAGAGAAATATAACTAGTACACTTCCAAAAGAATGAGATAAGGAGCCAGTAAGACTGACAGGGAGGGGGCAGGGGACAAAGAAGGAATAGTTATAGAGTCAGGTGTGTACTGTAGGCTTGTCATTGAGGAGCTGACTGACTAAAGGACATAAAGAAGCCAATATGTAGAAAAGAAAGGTGCAACTCACAACATGCATCATCATCCAGGTCCAGCCCGAGTTCAATGACTATGCTGATAGGTCATAAATAGGCCTCATAAACAGCAGAGGAAATTGGCACATGTATGGTCTTTTCCTACAGATAGCTCTACCTATCCTAGCTACAAGTTCTGCACATGCTGCCATTCATAACCATGACAGTGGGGTATCTGATACTACGGCTCAATGAGTACACATCAGTCAACCCAACAAGAAGAAGATCCAGGCCCAGCCTGGTGACACAGTTGGTGGCAAACTGAACTGCAACGCTGGAAGCCACGTGGCCAATGGAGGGCTCCAATCTCCTGGGTGGCCTGAAAACACACTGAGTGAATGTGTTCATGCCCAAGATCCAGACAAGCTAGAGGACTCTTTCTTTCTTTCTCTCTTTAACACATGCACACGCACTCTCTGTCATGAATAAAATTAAGACAATTGTTAAAAAGAAGAATATTCAGAGGGCATGTTCTCCCAAGTCTGCTCAGAGTGTCTCAGACTGAAGGCCAAGAGGCAACTTTTTGGATATTTTAAGGGGGTTGGGATTGGCTTACAAAGCTAACAGAGCTTATCTAGTGGTGAAATTTTCTAGACACAATCTAGATAAAAATTGTCTCTATCTTATTTAAATGAGATGTGCCTTTTTTTCCCCACAGAAAAAGCGAACATTGAAGGGCTCTATTGAACTCTCCAGAATCAAATGTGTTGAGATCGTGAAAAGTGACATCAGCATCCCATGCCACTATAAATATCCATTTCAGGTAAGTTCATCAGGCCCAAGGCAGATGATTTCCCATTCCTGGACCATAGTTAAAATCCTTGATACTTTGAGAGAAGATGAGAAAAGGATGACCCCAGACCGTGTGTAGAACTTAGACCAAGCCCATAAGAAAATTTCTGTGATCTTTCAATCAATAAAATTTATTCATTCAATGTAGATTAAGTGCAACATTTTTTTAATATATGGAACTTTATTTATGTGAGAAAGTACCATCCAATGGGCTATGGTCAAGCCATAGTGCCTGCTCTTCCATTTCTCCCTTCTGTCAGGATTTCAAATACGTATGCACACATACTTGGGGTGTGTGTGTGTGTGTGTGTGTGTGTGTGTGTGTCTTTTAATTTATTAAGTTTTGCTGTAGTGTGTGTATGTGTTTGCCAGAGAGAGACAGAGAGAAAGATAGTGAGAGAGGAGGAAGTGAGAAATCACCCCTCGGGGTAATGGCCATGCCACAGTCCCTTCTCCTCTATTCTCCTCTTCAGCTTTTGGGCATGCATGCACATGCACCCTGTATGTTTTTGAAGCAGTCAGGTTCGGCTTCAAACCTGAAGGTTGAACTGCAGTTGGCCATGTGGAATCCAGCTGTCTTAACCTCTGTGCCACCTACTAGCCCATGCCCAGTGTGGTTTTCAAGCCACCAGGGCCATGAGTCAAACCACAGTTGGCAGAGTGGGATCTGGCTCCCTTAACCACTGTGCCTGGGCCAACTCTAAGTGCAGAATCTTGAAAAAGTTACTCCTCCTTCTCTTTTTCCTCATCTCTTCCCTATCTCAAGGACAGTCTTAATTACTCTGCTCTTGGGGTAGGGGACTGTAGAAAGCTGTTAAAGTTATGCTTACTCGGGATTAGGACGACAGATTGTAATTCTTGGTTATAATTACTTGCAGTTTCGGAGGTAATAAGACTGATTTCAAATTCGAGAACTATCTGGAGATCGTTGCACTTTCTAATACAGGAGTTACCAGCTCTAGGTAGATGTTTATATTTACATGTAAATTAAATGATACTGAAGTTTTAGCTCTGCAGTCACACCAGCCACATTCTGTGTGCTCAATAGCCATCTGTGACCAGTGGCTCCTGTGACAGCACAGATTACAGGACGTTTCACCCCTGCAGAGAGTTCTAGTGCTCAGAGCTGGTGGTGGAGGCTATCCGAGCCTTCGTCTCCTTCACCAGTTTTGGCACTGACAGCTCTGAAGGAATGCCCTCACCGTGCACAGCCCAAGTCACCCTTCTCATTTAACAACCTGAGGAGTGAATATTTCATTTTAAATGTGGCATAGAATAAAACCCTTCCTGCTAGAGAAGCGACCCCCTAGGAGTTGGAATTTTTAGGATTGAAAGTAGAAAGGCTCCTATGTATCTCACCATTATTTTAAATCCCCATTACAAATGAGTACATGAAAAAACTGGTGGAATTCAAAAAAGACCTGTAGTTTAGCTCGTATTGTAGTATTGTACAATATCGGTTTCCTGGTTTTAAAATTGTGCTGTGGTTATGTAAGATGTTATCGGTGGAGAAAGGTGGGTGAAAAGCACACAGGAACTCTGTACTATTTTTGGAATTTCTTCTGAATCTTAAACTATGTCAAAATAAGAAGTTTTTAGAAATCCTGATTATACACTTGTTATCTAATAACTTATTCTTACATATGGCAAAAGGATTTTTTTAAATCACTGCAAGATGATGAGAAGTAAATGTGCTATCTACTCAGGAGGAAAACGTTCTCTTGCTATTTTAGTTTAGCAATGACTTACCGGTGGCATGAACTCTCAGGTGAGCAGCGTCAGCTGGGGAAGACCATTCCTTCGTTTGCCCAGTACTAAAATATCTGGCTAAAAATGACCCTAGTCTTCTGAGACCAGTAGATGGTGTAATGGTTATGTTGCTGGACTCCCATGTAGTTCAAGTCCCAGACCAGCAGCTTAAACTCATGCTGGGCACGTGCGCGTGCGTGCCCAATAATATCCCAAGAGGAGAATGGAGGAGAAGGGATTGCTGCATGGCCATCCCACCTAGGGGGTGATTTCTCGCTTTCTGTTTTTCTGTCTCTGTCTTTCTAGAGAGCACATGCACCCTATAGGAAAAACCTCTCCCCTCAAAATAAATAAATAAATATATAAAAATTAAAAAAAAATTAAAAAAAAAAAAGACCTTAGTGCTCTGATCACCCACATTTGCCTAAAAGTGACAAATTCCTCAGATCTCACCCTGGGTCCAGGAAGCCAGATGGGCCTCCTGTCATTCATCTGTCTTCCAGCACACTGCTCACTTTGGACTCTGCGTGTGTGTCTCCAGGTCGTGCATGACAACTACCTCCTCTATGTGTTTGCTCCAGACCGCGAGAGCCGGCAGCGCTGGGTGCTGGCCCTTAAGGAAGGTAATTAACTCCTGTACCTTTGAGTCACCGAGACCCTCGATGCTATGGTAGGCTTGTTCCACGGTAGAACAGAGAGTGATCTGAGAGCATCTCCCTTTCAATGTTGCTAAAAGTCCCACATTTTCACCCTGAGCCCAAGAGGAAGCAACCAGCATAGTTCAGAGACTGGACCAATCTGGGCTGCCACCTGATCTCACAAGGCTCCAACCTAAGGATGGTTTCTGTGTTTTTATGCGGCCATTTCAAAGGATCGTACAAGTACTACAGAACACCCCTGATGTTGCCTCGTGACCAGAAAAGCCTAGAACATTTATTATCTGGCCCTTAAAGAAAAAGTTTGCCAACTTCCAAAATAGCGTGAAGAATAAGAGTGTGGGTTTTCAAGTTGGATGACCTGCATTTAAATCTGGGCTCTACTGTTTACTATATGCACTTGGACAGTTTCTGAGCTATTCTCCGCCAGTGTGGCCCACCAAAAAAAAAAAAAAAAAAAAAAAAAAAGCAGAAAAGGAGGAATAATAGTACCTGTCTCCAGTGCTCTTACTCTAGCAACTCTACTTTGATTCTTTCTAGATTTGTGGTTTGAAGTAAGATTTTGGTAGGGGAAAGAAGGGGGGGGGGTTCTGTTACAAAAAATAAAAAGTTTTAAAAACCACAGAACTAGACAGATCATCTGTCATGTTCCTTGCAGCACTGACATCCTGTATGTCAAACCCTTGTAAAACCACAATGGATTGGGTAGGCCCTTTTGCAATGCTGGAGGAGGCTATCTAGAGCGTCCTGAAGGAATGGGTATCTCCTTGTACATCCCAAGTTACCATTCTTGTTTGCCAAGCTGAGGGGTGAATATTTTATTTTTAATGTATCTTGGAGAGAAAAAAAAAAAACAAAAAAAACTTTCCACTACAGTTGCTATGCCCAAGAGTAAAGATCTCGGAACTAGCCAGGCCCATAGCCAGCACCTTATATACAGTGTGGGGCCAGCAGGCAGTGTAGTGTAAGGCACTGGACTCCCACATGGCTGACCTGTGGTTCAAGTCCCAGACCTTGGGCAGCTTGAAAATCATGCCAGACATGTGTGCATGGGTGCCCAAAATCCCAGGAGGAGAATGGAAGAGAAAGGATTGTGGCATAACTGTCCCCCCTAGGGGGATGGTTTCTCACTGTCCCTCTCACTGTCTCTCTCTCTGGTGAGTGCACATACCCTATGGCTAAAACCTTAAGAAAAACAACAACAACAAATTTAGCTAGGTTTTAAACTTTTTCAGATCAGCAATAAGGGTGTTTCTTAAGCCTTGCCTTCCTGACAGCATAATCAGAGCAAGAAGAGTATTGAAGGCCTTGGGACATGGACCCACACTGCGAAGGTGAAAATCCCAGCTCTACCCATGGTTAGCGTATGACCCTGTGCAAGTTCCTTGACTCCTGTGTGTGTCTCCAATTTCTCAGCTCTAAATTTTGACTCATAATAATCACAGGGAGATTATTAAATAAGTTGTGAGAATTAAACGAGTTAGGGCACTTAGAGTGATACCCATCCCAAAGAACGTACTCAATTAATATCACTATTATTATTCTTTAGCCTGCAACTTTAGATTTGTCAGAAGATCTGAGTCCAAATATTAATCTGTCTCTAAGTCTCGAAGGATAAGCAAAGTATTTGATGTCCCTGGAGCTAAGGGGACATCTATCTGAAAACTGAGACCATGAATAGCAAATCATATCTACTTTCAATGTTGTTGTGAACTTCAAATGAAATATGAACAGGCAGGTGCTGGGTGAACTGGAAAATGCTAAGTATGACAATCACAGGACTTGGAACAAACACCAAAGTGGAAAGTAATCAAAAGGGTTAGGCCAAATCTATGGGCCATTCTCTCTCTGTAAAAGAGCTTTGCATACACTATACAATGTTGGAAGGAACATTAGAGATGATCTGTCCAGTTCTATTTTTTTTTTATATTTATACACTTTTTTTTATATAGAGACTCCCTTTTTTTTTCCTACCAAAATTTTATTTCAAAGCCACAAATCTAGAAGGAACAAAAGCAGAGTTGCCCTGGTCAAAAGTGGGAGAGGTAAAGAGTGAGAATCCCACCTTCTCAACCTTTCCATTGCATCTAAAGCCCCTTGTGGAGTTCACTGACCCAGTCTAACAACTTCATTTACCATCAGAGGAAACTGAGACTCAAATGAAGGTTCACCCAACCTGAACACATACAACTCACCGGAGGCAGAGCCATCACAACCCACATCCACTAACTCTAACAGGCATTCCCTCAGCAGATGGCAGATATATGTGCCTGATAAAGCTCATTTTTCTGAATATTCAGGGTAATATTCACTCAGGTCACACAGCAGGGTCCACTCTTGGGAGTTATAAAGTTTGTGACCCTTTATAGACTGGCCTAGGAATCATTTTTCTGCTGGTGCCAATCCCTTTCAGAAACAAGGAATAATAACAGTTTGGTGCCAACTTATCACCCCAACTTCTGGATGGATGGGAGGTGGAGGTGCTGTTCTCAACTGGAGAAACTTGCAACGGGCTGTGCCCAGTATGATCCAACCAAGAATGGTAAGAGACGGAATTCCCTTTCCTTTTTATGACATGATCATAAAGACTCTCAGCTTCTCTTTATCTCTCTGTGTGTGTGTGTGTGTGTGTGTGTGTGTGTGTGTGGTGGGGGTCTCAGTGATTGAATGTAACATTCTACATTTTCAGAAAGGAATTATTTGTCTTTATCTCTAGTCTGTTGATACTTTTTCATTTCAAATCTATTGTCTTTATAGCCACTGACTACTCTGCTATCGTTTTTGTTTGGTTGGTTTTGGCCAAACTTTTTTAAAAGAGATTTTTGCTATAGGGCATGTGTACTCCTAGAGACACAGAGACAGAGAGATAAAGTGAGAAATTATTCCCCCCATTCAGGGGGCATGGCCACGCCACAGACCCTTCTCTTCTATTCTTCTCTTGAGATTTTGTGCATACATACTAACACACATACACACCCAGTGTGAGTTTCAAGCCATCAAATCCAGGACTTGAACTGCAGTTGACTATGTGGGAGTCCAGTGCCATGACCACTACACCATCTGCTGGCCCCTTGGCCAGACTTTTTATTTAGTATTCTGAAATTGTTTAACACACACTTAAATAGTTTTACTGAGGGAGGGGGAAAGGGAGGTTCTTGCAGATTTCCAAGGAAATGTCAGAAAGACAAATATAACCACGTGCTGTCCTTGAATCAAGAGCAGCAGCATCACCTGAGAGCTAGTTAGAACTGCAAATCCTCTGGCTTCCTCCAAGACCTACTTGATCAGAAATTGCTTTTTTAACAAGATCCCCAGGAGATCTGTATGCACAATGAAGTTTCAAGAACACTATTATTAACTTTCATATTAGGAATCTTGAATGGCATGGTCTACTTAATCTTAAACTGTAGAGACAGCCTCAAGAAATATTATTTATAATATTTCTTTATATAAATATAAATATAAATATTACCATTTATATTATAAAATATGTTATTATTCATATAATAATAATATCATTATTTATTTATTACAGTAGTATCACATCGTGCATGTGTTTAATTACACAAATTCAACTCTCCACATTTGAGGGAGAAAGGAAGTTAGAGAAAAATCTTTTTCTTTAGCTATGTGGCTTGTCCCCTCCTTCTCTTCAAATCTATCCTTAACCTCCACAATCTCAGTCTGAATGCAAAATGAAAAGAAGTTTCTTGACTGTTGAGGTCAGAGGCTCAGGTGTTGAGGCTTGAACTGCAACTTGATTTTTTTACCTTATGTAAGGGCTTTGAGACCTTAACTTCCAATAAAGTGCAACCCCACTCTAATGCACCTTCCCATGTATCGGACTCTGGTTCCTCACAATTGTCAGGATGGTTGCTGTGTTCTTGAAGGAACAGATGGCCTTGAGTGAATTCAGTAAGCCCAAGGTCATACAGCTATGAGGGGCTCTGCAAATCCATTGTTGGCTAGGAGTAACGGCCTATGCTAATTGTTTTACTTCCATTTTTCTTCTTAGCGTCTCTTACTATAGTTCTTTTTTCTCATCTGTCAATTTCTATTTTTTGCACTAAAACTTAATACCTCAGGTTGACAACCCAAGGCGGAAATAACACGTGGCTGGGTTTTTCATGGCTTCCTGATTCACAACTCCTCTCAGCACCACTTTAGAAACCAACACTTCTCAACCTGCACCTTGGGAAAGAAAGTCCTTTAAGACAATCTCCATTCCTTGGCCTAGAAGAATAATGTTTGCCAAGTCTTAGAAGTTAGTGATCTCCTACCACTAGTTCTGTTGGCCACACAGAGGCCAGTATTTAATGAAAAAGAAATGGAAGGTTTTAAACGTGTGGAATCCATGGTAAAAACAGGAAGGCCTGGGCTTGCCACAGTGAGCAAAGGCGCTTTCCAAAGCCTTGGTGTCCAAATTCTTGCCAGCATCTTGCTGTGGGTCCCTGGGTGAGTCATTTGGCCATCAAGGGTCTTAATGTCCTCATCTCTAAAATGGTAGGGGAGATCTTAGAAGACCTAAGATAAAATAGAATTGGAGAACCTTTCCCATTCTAAATTTTTCCGAATCTGTTACCATTTTGCCAGTTTCACCACACGTGTCGCAGCTATTCCTCCTCAGAGCACACGGAGTTTTCCTCCACCAAGTGGAAGACGTGACGAAGGTGTTAGGAGCATCTGAATGACTTATCAGAGCCATGCTTGGGGAGGGCTGGGGAGAGCTAACCATCCTTGGTCATTTCCGTGGTGTGCTGTGCAGTCATGGTTTTGCTCCTGTGTTGCAATCCCCTGCCATCTCCCTCTCTAAGCATCTTCTCACTCTACCCTCACACACGATAGTGTTGACACAGTTTAGAACAGTTTTCAAGAAGCACATGATGCTGTGAACACAGCCCACAATGATCTGCTGGGGTTGAAGGGTTCTTGGTGTTGGGCATACTGGTAGTGCAGGGTCTGTGAGCACAGGACATCAAAGCCAAAAACATCTGGGGTCCTAGCCCGATCACTTCCTTGCTGTAACTTTATATACATTACTTAACCTCTCTGGGAGTCTGAGTCTGTTTCCTCATCTATGAAATGGGGATGATGTTCATAAGTAGCTACTTAGCATACAACACATAGGGCTATTCCCATGGCCACACAGCTCATCATGGTGGAGTTGGGATCAGAATGCCAGTCTCATGGCCCCAAGCAGACTGCTAAATGGTACCATACTTATTACATGTGCTTGCTTTCTTCTCTGTTAATTATATCCATGACCACCCCCTCTCCCCCAGCCTTCCCTTTCTCAAAGGAGTTGACAAAGGGCTAGACTCAGTTCAATGTGTTCTTCTCTACCCCAGGCCTAATGAGGGCTGTCCAACTTTAAGACAACCTCAGACAGGGAACCAGCAGTTAGCATAATGGCTATGTCGCTGGACTCCCACGTAGTCCACCGCGGTTCACGTCCCAGACCCGGTGGCTTAAAACTCACGCCGGGCGCGTGTGCGTGCGTGCCCAAGATCCCGAGAGGAGAATGGAGGAGAAGGGATTGCGGCGTGACCATCCCCCCTGGGGGGTGATTTCTCGCTTTCTGTCTCTATGTCTCTCTCTGTCTGTCTGGTGAGCGCACGCGCCCTATAGTGAAAACCTCTCCTAAAAAAAAAAAAAAAAAAGACAACCTCAGACAGAAAAAAGAACTGCCACTAGCCTATGCACCTCCATTCCCTTCTTATCTCTGATAATTCAAAAAAATCTTTGTATTCAGTGGAAGCCTGTGAAGTGCTTTCCATACCACATGTATTCCCAGACTCACAGACACACGGCTTTGGTCCCGTGTTCCAATGCTGATCTTTGTTTTGTCACAAAGGAAAAATAGAGACAGAGATGAAAAAGTGAAAGGAAAGAAAATGAGAAAGGAAGGGAGAAGAAATAAGGAAAGAGGGAAGAGAGAAGAGACATGGAGACAGAAAGAGACTAGCAGAAAAAGAGATAGGGAGAGAGGAATGTGGGGGAGGGGTGAAGATAGGGGGAAACAGTGAAAACACATATTCAGAGGCCTTAATGCAACTAAAAGTGGCTCCCAACCCACTCGAAAAGGAGCACAATGACTTCCCACCTCATCCACCCCCTCCTCAAGCCCATGACAGCACCAGGAAGCCAGTGAGTCACTGCACCCTGAGTCACCGAGCCCCACTCCTGGGCTGAGCAGGAGGCAGATGTATTCATTGAAATCTCTGTGCCGGCAAGGAGAGCCCAAGTTGAACCTCTCATGAGGCTTTTCTTGGGAATACAGGAAGAGGGGGGCCCCCAGATCCTGACTTCAGAAAGTTTCTGGTGGCTGCTACCAAAGGGCCTTGGGAGCCAACAGGCTAAAAGCAAACAGGCAAGTTCTGACAAGGCCGGTTCTGGTTTCTATGTGTCTCATCACCGCCTTCTGGCCCTTCTCTCTTGTTGTTCTCCTTGGGCCCCTTTTCTCTGAAAAGCCCCCCACTGCTCACCTCCGGTTGGGCCTATTGAGTTTCAGATTCTTTTTTTTCTGTTTTTCTTGTTTCAGCTTCAAAGAAGCCTCTTCCTCCTACTCCTGAAGACAACAGGGTGAGTGAGAGCCTAAGTTCTGGGTACAGTGGCCCGTGGTGCTGCAGGTGGCCCGATTGGCATTCCCCCACTTGCATTCTTCCATCTGCCCACGTTTCCCAAATCCTGAGTGCGTGTAGCAGACTGTCGTGATTCAGCTGAACTTAATGCATGGGGTTTATTTAGGTCCAAACTGTCCTGTAGAACTGTCCATTTAAAGGACCACTGAAATGCTAAATTTTCACATCATTGTATTCACTCAACAAACACTTTACTGGTATCAAATTGTATGTCCAGCCACCTGACGTCCTTGGAGTAAAATAATAGCTCATATAGGGTGTATTTAACCTATGCCATGACCTACAAGCACTTCAGAGAAATATTGTATATTTGATAATACTTTATATGTTTCAAAACACTTTCACACTTTTATCATCTATTTTTAAATTGACTCTGTTCTAGGTACTTCAGCTGGTTATAGTTTTATTCTCTTTTTAAAGCTTGGGATGCTGAGTCCCGAGGGACGTTTTGAGACTATCTCAAGACCATCCAGCAATTTAGCAGCATGCAGAGTTTCTAGTTTGGTAGTTCTTAAAGTGTGGTCCACAGACCAGCAGCACCATCACCTTGGAGCATGTAAGAAATACACATTCTTGGGCCCCACCCCAGACCTGCTATATCCAAAATTCTAGAGGAAGGGCCAACCCATCTGTATTTTCATAAGTCTCTGGGTGATTCTGAGGGACATTCAAGTTTGAGAGCTGCTGGCTGTTAATGTCCTGGCTTACCAGGCTTAGACTGTATGGTGCCTACTCTGGAGAAACTCATTCTGTTAAGGAGACAAAAACAAAAACAAAAATAGGTCCTGAGAAGCATCAGCTCTCACCATTTGGCCATAATGGCACCAATACTCACAAGAGCACTTGCTTGGAGTAAAATAATAGCTCATATAGGGTGTATTTAACCTATGCCATGACCTACAAGCACTTCAGAGAAATATTGTATATTTGATAATACTTTATATGTTTCAAAACACTTTCACACTTTTATCATCTATTTTTAAATTGACTCTGTTCTAGGTACTTCAGCTGGTTATAGTTTTATTCTCTTTTTAAAGCTTGGGATGCTGAGTCCCGAGGGACGTTTTGAGACTATCTCAAGACCATCCAGCAATTTAGCAGCATGCAGAGTTTCTAGTTTGGTAGTTCTTAAAGTGTGGTCCACAGACCAGCAGCACCATCACCTTGGAGCATGTAAGAAATACACATTCTTGGGCCCCACCCCAGACCTGCTATATCCAAAATTCTAGAGGAAGGGCCAACCCATCTGTATTTTCATAAGTCTCTGGGTGATTCTGAGGGACATTCAAGTTTGAGAGCTGCTGGCTGTTAATGTCCTGGCTTACCAGGCTTAGACTGTATGGTGCCTACTCTGGAGAAACTCATTCTGTTAAGGAGACAAAAACAAAAACAAAAATAGGTCCTGAGAAGCATCAGCTCTCACCATTTGGCCATAATGGCACCAATACTCACAAGAGCACTTGCCCTTTAATCCCAAACCTGCCTAATCTGAAGAATGTGTTTTACTTTTCCCCCTTCTAGCCAACTTGGTGACGTTTCAAAACTGGCAGCTTCCCCATAAAGGAAGCTCTAAATCCTTAAAACCTCGGGTTGGTTTTTAGATCTGTCATCAGTCTGCTCCCTTTCAACAGAAAAGGAATGTATTTAAACTATAGTGGAAAACGATCTTCCTTTCCTTTTCTTTCATTGACCTCCTGAAGACTATTTCACCATCTTCCTTGAAGACATGGTTCAGAATCCCACTGCCCCCTTGCCGATGGTTCTCTCACTAGTCTTGCCTAAACCCACACATCTCATGTTTAGTCAGTCTGCTCTCACCTTATTTTCAGTATCAGTGAAGTAAAAACCAGAGGACAAGGACACTGCTGGCCCAGCAATCCTTGGGATCTGCCACTTGGCTTCTCAGATTTCTCGAAGGAGCAGCATCCATACTGGTCTGAGTATACTGATCACAAGGTTCTGGAGACATGGTTCTAGGTTCAGCTACATGTCCAAATCCACTACAACGTTTCTCTTACTCTGAGCCACTCAAAGTCATTTATCTCTTCATCCTCTTGTTCTGTTACTACCCAAGGGGTATCAACATTTCAGAGTGGGATAGAGAGAAGCTGTGCCTTTAAGCTGTGTTTCTGGGTCTCAGGCTTTGTGAGAAAAATTGTGAAATAGGATTAGTTCTCTAGAGAAGGAAGGTGGCTATTTTTTGGTGGAGATGGAGACTATATCCATGGTCAGAGTAACAGTCAATCCCAGCCTCTCTAGGCTATGGGTGCATATGAGGACATGTTTACATTGATGTCCAAATTTCCATTCTTGTGACCCCCTGCATCCATGGGAACTCAGCCATTGCTTTAAGGCCCCTTCCGGTCAACCCAGAGTGCTTCTGGAGGGGCCACTCAGAGATGAGCCTGCCTGGCTCCTATAAAGGTACCCTGTTCCTGTCACTGCTACCTATGATCGCTGGGAGAGCTTTCTCAGTCCAGTGGAGTTCTGTCCAGCTGGGACCAGGAGAGTTCTTGGGGGCCAGAGTTCTTGGGTTGTTCTGAAGTCTACAGCAGAGTGACTAAAGGATAAGACCCTTATCCACTCTGTGCCTCACCATATCACCTATGCCCCGAAGCAGCCCTTCTTGAGTCCACAAATTCAAGTTTCTCCAAATGCCATCTCTTGATTTTTCTCAATCTAATCTAGTAATTCCAAACCTGATCAGATTCAGTGTTCCTCTTTCTTGACAAATGTTTCATAAAGCTTCTTTTGTTATCTTGAAAAGAAACTAATAAATACTACAACATATATGAATATTTCATTTTAAAAGAATCAATAAATGTCATGTCATCTTTAAAAAGGAAAGAAAAAATCATTTAGGTAACATGGTATTTATTTGTATAGGTTTTTATTGGGGAATGAAGACATAATGAAATAGTCAGTTGCTTATATCTGTAGATACAATTCTGCTGAATTTGGGTTTTCAAATGCAACGAACACAGGAAGGTTGTCTCAGTGACCTAAATAGAGTGTTACCACTCATGATACAAATTTCCAAAATAAAGAACAACTCTTGGTAAAGTTCTGAACTAAACAGAGCACACCCTCCCCTCATTGTACAAAGGTAATTGTATTCCTGGGAAATCTAGTGCTTTGTACAAAGTAGAGATAGGGGGACCAGCAGATGGTGTAATGGTTACATCACTGGACTTCCACATAGTCAACTGTGGTTCAAGTTCTGCACTAGCTGCTTAAAACTCACTTCAGGCATGTGTGCATGGGTGCCCAAGATCCCAAGAGAAGAATGGAGGAGAGGGATTGTGGCATGGCTATCCCCCCTTGGGAGTTATTTCTTGATTTTGTCTCTCTGGTGAGCACATGCACCCTAAAGCAAAAATCTTTCTCAAAAAAAAAAAAAGGAGAGGTAGGAGGACTCAAGATCTTCTTATATTTATACTATAAGCAGGTTTCTTAACACATCAATATTGAACAGAACACTTGAAAGTTGTACAGGATGTGAGACACTGAAGAGTATATTGCATTCTTGCCTGGCACCTACTAAATACCTGTAGCACATGTCAAGCTTTCTGATGTCAACAATACACCATAGATGCCCAAGGAGCCCCCTGTGGAAAGGCACTGCCCTAACTTGAGAATCCTGCTCTGACCTTTCTCTACAGAAGGATTAACCAGTGAGCTGACTAACAGTGATACAACTGCCACATCATAGCTCTTGTTTTCTGTTTCTGGTGCCCTTCAACACAATTTCTCCCTCTTATGTTCTCTTAGGGCAAAAGCCTAACACCCATCTACTCTTGTCTGTTATACCCAAAACACCACCACCTTAAGCTTCACAAGTATCTGGACTTCATAATCCAATTTGGGCTCAGCCGGGATAATATACAAAATCAATATGACAAGACTATAGTTTGTCTGCATAGCTCCAGTATTCTTAAACCACCAATGCTTCAATGTGCTCACCAAACTTGTAACTTCCTGCCATAAATCACATTTTAGGCAGCAACTCAGTCTTATCCCGTATTAACCCTCCCCAAAGCTGTCCAATCATAGCAGGTGTGCCCATCCTGAGCTCTGATTACTGTTATTTTATGGTCTTTTCTTCATGTCCTCAATATCTCATCCTAGGAAAGACAGTGAGAAGCAACAATACAGGCAAAAGAGAGTCTACAGGAGAAAGAAGGGAGCCCATGTGCTGTGGTGGAGAGAGAGTTAAAACTAATTTAAGTGTGGGACCAGCAAATAGTATAATGGTTATATCACTGGACTTCCACCTGGCCAACAGCGATTTCAGTCCCAGACCTGGAGGCTTGAAACTCATGCCAGGCGCATGTGCATGTGTGCCCAAAATCCCAGGAGGAGAAGGGATTGAGACATGGCCACACCCCCTGGGGGGTAATTTCTCACTTTCTTTCTCTTAGTCTCTCTCTCTGTCTCTCCAGCAAGCACATGTACTCTATAGCAAAAATATCTCTAAAATAAAAACAACAAAAAATAAATAATCCAGGTGTTAAATTGGCATTGTTCATTTCCCCATTTGGACCCTCATCCTATACAAGAGAGTGGGTTAAATGATCTCTTGAAGGAATTCCAGTTCTGTTAGCCTATCAGTCTATGGTTCTGGATAAAGCCACAAGTCAAATCAGCAAAACACAGGCTGAATGACTTAGTGTGGACGAGTCTCCCTTGCCAACAGTGTGATGGTTCTGGCAGTGAGGCCACAGCATATGACATGGTGCAGGGAGAGAAACCGGCAGACTTCGGTGAAAAGCATGTGGCTGCTTGAAACTCACTGGGTCAGAATTTACCTCATAGAATGAGAAAGATGCTAGATTCCAGGTACTGATGTCTCTGTTTGATATTCAGTACCATAATCTTAATTCATGAAGAAAAGGAACAAGAGGAAAGCAGATTGTCTCCGCGGATACCCCAGAGGACTGTAGAAACGTCTGTGTTGACCTGACATAGATCCGGGAGCAAGTTACGGCTCAGGGACCTGCTGTGATCTCCCCTTGCATTTTATCTCCTTCCTTATGTCTGTTTGGTTTTGTTGTCTCACTTCCTTAGCGATCACTTCGGGAAGCTGAAGAAAGCCTGGTCATTGCCCTGTATGACTACGAAACAAACGATCCTCAGGAACTTGCGCTACAGTGCAATGAAGAATACTACCTGCTGGACAGTTCTGAGATTCACTGGTGGAGGGTTCAAGACAGGAATGGGTAAGGCATCTTTGCACGTGCTGCCTCAGCACTTGAGGAGAGTGGCGAGAACTAAAAAAATCCTTTCGACCAGCCTGAGTTAGGAGAAGAGAGCAGTGGCAGAAGGAAGAGGGAGGGAGAGGATGTCGTTGAGACTAGTCTTGCCACTTCTCCGAAGATGCTAACAGGCTGTCACCTGCCATGCTTACTCCCTGCACTCCATCTCAAACACTCCTAGCCCCACACTCATCTAAAACCCCCAGTGTTTTCCCACTGACATCCGTGGTTTGGGAAACTGGCAACTTATTCAGAAAGCCCTCTTGTTCCTGAGTGTTTAAGTAAGGCTGAACGCACACTCCATTACGAAGTGCTTCTTTTCGTGGGAAGAAAGGGCATGAAGCAATGGCAGATTAGTGGTTATATTAGGAAGCATCAGAAAAAAAATACTAAAGACTTCTTTATAATTGCAATTAGTGAACAAGCATCCAAATGATTCATGGAGAAAATAAAGTTGTACAAACATTGATTGCCCGCTATGGGATTTTCGAATGAAAAAAAAAAAAAATCCAATGAGCCTTTCTTGACTCTGAAATACAACAAAATTCGTTATTAACTTTCAGAATGATCTAGGATTACAGGACCTATATACTACTCCTAGGTTAAAAGCATGAGACTCACACTGCTTTATAAGGCTTTATTTTTTCCTTTTACTATATCAGATATGGGGGCCAAGTGGTGAAACAGTGGTAAAGGTACAGGATCCACAGGAGAAGGTTCTGAGTTCCAGGGCCCTACCTGAGCACACCGGGTATGCATGTGTGTCCATGGTCCAAGGTGTCTCTTCTTGAAGTAGCCTATAAGCTCCACTGCAGGGAGAGGGAGGGCAAAGGTGAGGTGGGGGAAGAGGTGATGAGATAGAGAACTGTGGTGTGAGAGGCAGTGTAGTTTGGTAGCTAGAACAGAACCAAAGTCCTTCATCTGGAACCGGTCCCTCTAGCTGCCTCTAGAAGCAACCTAGGCTGGTCATATTATTTCTTTACCTTTCATGGGAAGTCTATATCAGAAACAAACCCAAAATGGCCTTGGTCTACAAAAAGAGAAGGAACATACTCAGAAATCTGTCAATTCAATGAACTGATACTACTTAGCACACGTAATATGCCAGGGAATTTCTTCTCCTGGGCCTTACTTCTACAAATGACAGGTTATCCCTTTGTTCACTGCCTGTGGAAAGGCTCACCTCTGTACCTCAAAGGGCATCAAAAAGGACACCTGAGAGGCCATCAGTATTTTGGGAATTTCCCATTTCCTTTGTAACATGGCATAGTGGAAAGTACAGGAGAAGGAGAGACACAGGACCTGGATGTAAGTATCAGCTCTTCCTGTATATGTGACTGTGACCAAGTCACTTAGTGAATCTATTTATCTGTAAGATGCAGGTGATAACATCAGTTTTGTCTATCTTAGTATTGGGAAAAAAACAATGAGAAGATAAAAGTGAAAGTGCTTTGTCATGTATTTTTTTAAGAATTATTTAATTATATTTATTAATTCATTTATTTTAATTTGACCAGAAAGAAACACACAGAAAAGGAAGGAAAGTGAGAAAGCAAGCCACCAGGTCTGGGACTAGAACCATGGTCGGCCATATGGGAGTGTCTAGCACCTTAACCACCATACCATCTGCTGGCCCCAGTGCTTTGTAACTTCTACATAGCCACATACAAGTAATGAGAATTACCATTTATGTAAAAAAGTCAGCTTTGTTGGCATATTAAAAAAGTTAGTTTATTATTAAAAAGCAAGAATATTATTCGATCTATTCCTGTAACCAAAACAGATGTGATAGAGGGCAATTCCAAAAGAGAGATATGGACGGGATGGTGAATTTCAAAACACGCCTACTCCCATCTATTGGCAATGTAGCTGCCCTGAGCACTTTGGTAAGGATGATTCTGAGACTGGGTCTCCAGTTCTCCAAAGAAAGTGTGCCACGGTTGATTAGCAATGCCTGTTATGAGAATAAGATTCAAGGTATCTGTGCTCGGCATCTCCATTCTTGATTTCTTCAGTCCTCAAAACAGCTCTGTGGGATAGATTGCATTAAATATGATCACTGCATTGAAAAATGGCCTTTTTTATTAAAAAAAAGGTAAAAATACTTTAAACTATGAGGTACCAGCTGGCAGCCTCTTCTGGGCCCTATGGCTAGAAAGTCATCTTTTATATTTTAATTTATTTTAGTTTCTTAACTATGAAATAATGGCACTAAAGTGGAAAAATTATTGCATATCACACACATAAAAGCATTTCTTTGTAGAAAATAGAGTAAACATTAATCTTTTTCTTTTCCAGTACCGGAAGTTTCACACTGAGGAGTACAGCATGTAGACTTGTTTAAGTAGATGGCCACTTCTCATTTATTGTGTTTCATATTTTAGAGACTAAATCTATTGTCTTTAACCAATGGCAGATAGTTGTTATTTTTACCAGTTCTTTTATTCTGAAACTACAAAGTGTCATCAAAAATGCCAAATAATGTGAGACTACACCACCTTCAAAGGATCATTAATGGATCAAACCTATGAAATGAAGTTATAGAAATTAGTTATATATTAGTCTAAACACTAATTTTCCTTTCAAACAGGCATGAAGGCTATGTACCAAGCAGTTATCTGGTGGTAAAATCTCCAAATAACCTGGAAACCTATGAGTAAGATATTTTATTTAGTTTTGTTTGTTTGTTTGTTTTAATAATTATTTATTTAATTTTTATTTATTCATTCACTTATTTTAATTTGACCAGAAAGAGACACAGATAGAGGGAAGGCGGGGAAAGTGAAAAGGCAAGCCACCAGGTCTGGGACTCGAACCGTGGTTGACCATGTGGGAGGGTCCAGCACCTTAACCACCACACCACCTGCTGGTCCTGTGTTTCTCTTCACAATCTAAATGATGTATAGCGATTTAATGTATGAAAAATAATAAAAATATATAAATAATAAAAATAAATACATTTTAAAAATTAAAAAAAGATATGGTACTAAAGAATTCTCTCTAGCTTAGAAATAAATTATTGATCAACTAAAAAAAAAAGCGGGCTTTTTTTTTTTAACTCACTTCTCTTTCATATACTGATCTTTACATAAACGGAAGGGAGGACTCTTAATAGGAAGAGTAGGTTATCTGCAGACACCAATCCTTTTATCAAAGCCATGATTCTCAGGTGCCGGAGCAGATTATGGTAAAGAGAAAAGGTACTGAGACTGGTAGTCTCAGGAACACTGATCTCCAGAAAGGACAAAACACTATGAAAAGGAACTCTGAATTGAATATAAACAGACTGAAAACACAGCTTAACGCAATATTTCCAATACCAAAACAGACAAATAGGTCATAAGTATCCGCCTAAATTGTGCTTAGTGTTTATGTCCAAGCTTCATTAGAAGATGAGTTCACATGCATGTAATTTTAATGGGAAAACTAAATGTTTAATAAAATTCAAATAAAGAATCACACCCTGGCGGGGAGGGGCTGGCCACACCACAATCCCTCATTCTCCATTTTCTTCTTAGTATTTTAGGCACACACATACCCAGCGTGTTTTTCAAATTGCCGAATCAGAGACTCCAACCATAGAGTAGGCCATTGAGAATCTAGTGCCTTAACCACCACATCACCAGATGGCCCCCAGGATCTTTTTCTGATTGAAGGATCTGACTAAAATTCCAAGAGAATCTAAAACAATAGGGCATGGTGGAGACTGAGGCAAATTAAAAAAGTGTATTTCCTCCACCTAAGGGTGTTTTAAGCTTTTTTTTTTTTTTTAATTTTAAGCACTGTTACACTGCAACAAAACAGTCGATGGGCCCTAGAATCTCAGCTAGAAAATACAATTACTTAGAGACAAACACCCAAATAGTTAGCATATAGCTGGACATATAAAAGATGCCTAGTAGAATGAGTTTTCATCCTTCAGTTTAATGTTGGTTTCTAGTAAGATCTGTACAACGACTCAAAAATGTACTGCCTGGAAACATAGCCATGGGGTAGTAAATCAATTAGATTCAGGTCTCCTGCTTTGGTTTGGAAACCTGACCTTAGGCAAGTTACCCCAACCTGTTGGATCTCAGATTCCTTCTCCATACAACGAAGACCATACAAGATGAAGGAAGGCAGACCGACACTGGTGCTGATTTTCCCACCCTGTGCACAGCACTCAGGTGGACAGAATTCTTGGGCGTGACACTTTTATCCCCTAAGCCCAAGACTGGCCTCAATCTTCAATGAACAGCTTCAGGCAGCCACTCCTAATCTTTTGGAATTTGCACACAAGATGAAGCATATTTGCCCTCAGATAATCTCTAGGAGCCCATGGAAGTGTAAAGTACTGTTTGTCATGCAATGTTCAAGATGCTCAAAAGAATCCATTAATTTTTATTCCTGACTACTCTCAGGTAGCCAAACAAGTGTAGTAAGTGGTATTCTTTCTCCACTTAGGCCTTTCCTCATGGATGTATTATTTGGTTGCCGGAAAAGTTATGACTTTTTTTTAAAGAATTATTTTACTATTTAACTTTATTTATTTGTTTGTTTGTTTGTTCTTTTAATTTGACTAGAGAGGGACAGAGTGTGTGTGAGAGAGAGAGAGAGAGAGGGAAAGTGAGAAAGTTAGCCACCAGGTCCAGGACTTGAACCACCATTGGCCATGTGGGAGTCCAACATCCTTAACTACCATGCCATCTGCAGGCCCCTATGACATGTTTTTCTATGCAAAAATGCATCATGACTTTTCTGATAACCCGATAGTTTCCAAAACTAATTGGTTTTTGTTTTGTTGGTTTTTTTTCTATAGGACGCTTGCACTCACTGGAGAGAAAGAGAGAGACAGAGAGACAGAAAGTAAGAAATACTCCCTAGGGGGGATGGCCATGCCACAATCTCTTCCTCTCCATTCTCTTCTCGGAATTTCGGGCCATAGCCACACGTGCCTGGTGTGAGTTTTAAGCCACCAGGTCCAGACTCTAACTGCAATCAACTACGTGGGAGTCCAGCAACATAACCATTACACCATCTGCTGGTCCCATTTTTTAAAAGAATTATTTTATTTAACTTTTACTTATTTATTATTGTTGGTTTTTATATTTGACTAGAGAAAGAAAGAGAGGGAAAGTGAGAAAGCAAGCCACCAGATCTGGGCCTTGAACCACAGTCAACCATGTGAGAGTCCAGCACCTTTTACCACCACACCACCTACCAGTTCCCCCCCCTTTTATTTTCTTGAGATATTTTTGCTATAGGGCGTGTTTACTTACTGGAGAGACAGAGAGAGACAGAAAGCGAGAAATCACCCCCCAGGGGGTATGGCCACACCACAATCCCTTCTCTATTCTCCCCTCGGGATTTTGGACAAACACGCACATACACACACCCCTTGTGAGTTTCAAGTTGCCAGATCCAGGACTCAAACCACAGTCAGCCATGTAGAATTCCAGCAATGTAACCATTATGCCATCTGCTGGTCCCCCAAAATTAATTGTTAACCGATGATCCTTCTACCTCTTCTTACCAGAGAAGCCAAGATGTGATTTCAATGCTGTTGACACTCTTGTGTCATCCCTAAAAATCATTTATATTCTTCTTTACCACTGTCTAGTTGTTTTCTATCAGACACCAAAATTGTAAAAACAATACAATTACTTGGCAGGTCTGGAAGACTAGTCATAAAGAGAAAGTGCTGAAGTTGTTTTAAAAAGATATTTGTTAAACTCTCAAATTGTTACTAAATTTTTATAACTGCCCTAGCACCTGCCCACTTATAACCACCCACAGACTTATGAAATAGAGAGGAAGATAAATATTTTCTCAAGTGTGATTATGGGAAATTTTTAACATGCACAAAAGCAGAGAAACAAATATGATGAGCCTCTATATACCCACATCCCAGCTTCAACCATCGTCAGTCACCGTTTTGCCAATACTGTTTCATTAGTTCTCAAGTTAAACATTTTGTTACCTAGAAGTAGACCATGCTTTTGCATTTGAGGACTTTGGTTTGGTTTGGTTTTAACTTACTTATTTTTATTTGTTTTTTTTTTAGTTGCTTAATATTATTTATTACTATTATTTTAAATTTCCTATAGAGTATGTGCACTCAACAGAGAGAGACAGAGAACGTGAGAAAGCAAACCACTAGGTCTAGAACTCAAACCATGGATGGCCAGGTGGGAGTCTAGTGCCTTAACCACTATGCCACCTGTTGTCCCCTTGCATTTGAGTTTGAAAGCACCAGTAGAAACAGAGCATTATATTTTGCAATTAAAAATGTTATTTAGGGGCCGGCAGGAGGTGGCGTGGTGGTTAAGGGAGCTGGACTCCCACATGGCCGACTGTGGTTCAAGTCTCAAGCCCTGATGGCTTGCTTTCTCCCTTTCCCTTTCTCTCTCTCTGGTCAATTAATAATAACAAGTGGAATTAAATAAATAAATACTTCTGTTTTGATAAGAATTAATAATGTAATTTAAAAAAAAGATGTCACTAACACGGGACTTTTCCTGCCTTCAGGTGGTACAATAAGAGCATCAGCCGAGACAAAGCTGAAAAACTTCTTCTGGACACTGTAAGTCTCCTCACACTGTCATTTGCCTTACAACAAAATGAGCTGGACTGTTGTTTCAGTCATATTGTGGTTTATGCCAACGCATTGAGTTGACATATCGGATTCACTATGGTTTTCGTGGCTCGTAAAAAATATTCTGGGGGCTTACAGAACAAGCAAACCACAGGACAGGACACCCTGGGGAGGCCCAAAGACCTTGAAACTGACCTGCCATCATCTCCACAACTGTGTGATCTAGAGACCCACAGGGCCGATCTGCCAGGCCTCCATCTCTGTTGAGGTTAGGAGTAGCTATGATTCAGATTCCACCCGATGAGGCTGTTTGTCCAGAATAAATAGAGCACCTATTTTTGCTTATTTCTCATTAACAGTATTAAAGCCAAGCAGTATGAGAGCAGGACCTATCCAACCCAGGGATGTCAGGATTAAGGATGAGAAGAGAGAAGGCAGGATATATATGAGATGTGTAGTGGGTCTGCATCCTGTTCTGTCACCAACTCAGTGTGTGACTTTGCAGTCGGTCATCTCTTCCTCTGAGCCTCAGCTTCTCACTGAGGATAAGATGGACAATGAACTGAATCAGGGACGCCAAAGGCCCGGCTCTCACACTGCACTCTCTGCTCCCGGTCCCATGGCGACAGCTGAGCACAGACCATGGCCATAGCAGACTCTGGAGACTCTGGAGAAAGAGTTCGAGGGTGATCAGAGATATGCTAAGGTGAACTCTAGAGCCATGAGGAAAGATTTCATGGAGGAAAAGGAATCGGACAGAGTCATTGTGGCACCCTAGTTCGCTTTCTCCTAGGTTCGGCATGTAATTGTTTCCTCGACTTCCAGATAGACTACACATTCGAACTGCTGGGAAATGTTTGCAAATACGGGTCCCTGGTCTCACTCCAGATCTGCAGACAGAGTGTCCAAAGGTAGTTGCCGGGCATGTGTGTTTTCTCTAGTGGAACTTCCAATGCGCGTGCTGCCACCTCAGCACCTGGTTCCCCCAGCCCGCGTTGCTGGGGAGCAGAGCAAAGTCTGACTAATAAGAACTAATCAAGAGGAGTGCAAAATTAATTAAAAACCTGAATTACACTGTGTTTAAACAAGTGCAGTTTTGTTATTTTCAGTGACACATCAGTTAATGAAGTCTATGGCCCACTTGAAACAGCCCACATTAATGACTAACTAGAGGGTTCCTATTTTACAGCAGTTCTTTTGAGGCACTTGAATACATTTTGTTCTCACAAGCCGTTGAAACATTCTTCCTTACCAATATTTTGAACTACTCAACCAAATCTTCTTTTCATCCTTAGGTAGACATGCAGGCAAACTTCAGTGGGTCGCTGTCAGATCAATTGCAGATTCTGAAAAGCTAGAATGGAATCATTTTTGCTAGTATTTTGCCCGTCATTTTCTCCTCCTTGTCCTCCTCCTAAGCCTCCTCCCCCTCCTCACTATTCTTCTTCTGATTTCCAGGAGGTGCGTGTACTTACCCAAGAGAGAGAGAAAGCCCCCCTAATGGGGCATGGTCACACCACAATCCATTTTCCTTTATGTCTCTGTCTCGTCAGGATTTGGGACAAGCACACACCCATACCAGGTATTCTTCAAGCTGCCAGGGCCAGGATTCGAATTGCAGTCCACCATGTGGGGTCCAGGTCCCCAGGTACAGGGCTCAGTCCGCTGCACTCCTAGTCTAGCTTATATTCTTTTGCTGTACTTGTGTACTGTTTGAAACAATAGCTTTATTGTTTCCTAGGTGTATTTAGCCTTCTTACCTAACATGTGAGTATTCTTAAAAGATAGATTGATTCATTTCACCTTAAAAACTAAAACTCTTGGTGTTCTGCCTCATACAGATTTCTCCACTGGAATATAAACCCTGTATCTTACTCCTGCTGAGCCTTAGTACCCAGAAAGATATCTAGTGCAAAGTGGTTACTCAAGAAATACTTGTTGAATGAATACATCAAAAGTTAATAACAGTTATTCATTTAAAAGCTGGGATTTTTTATTTATTTATTTATTTATTTATTTATTTATTTAGTAACAGAGGGCTTGTGTGATCGCCAGAAAGAGGGAAAGGAGAGTGATCACGCCCAATGGGGTGAGGATATGCTGCAATCCCTTTTCTCTCCATTTCTCCATCCTGTCAGGATTTGGGCCACACACGCACCTGCACCTGTTTTTCAAGCCACTGGGGCTCAGATTCAAACCCCATCGTCTATGTGAAATCCTCCTCCCTGTGCGTAGCACTTAATTGCTGTGCTATGAGGCCAGCCCAGGGGGCATGAGGAGATTTTTTTTAAAAGAAATTATTTCTAAAAAGTCCTGCCTTTCAGATCCATTCAATCAGAACCTTAGAGGTGGCACCCAGATGATCCTGAAACTGATGCAACTTTAGCGACCACTGAAATCTCCTAATGTGCTTTATTAATTCTTTAAATGCCTCCTCCTCTAAGAAGCCTCTCATGCCTTCCCTCTCTCTAGCCATAGAATGTGGTTACTCCTGGCTTTGAACCCTTATGGTGTGATGTCTTCATCTCTCCAGTGGCTCTATTCTCACTCTGTCTTGTATCTCAGCAGTTCCTCTTCTGTCTTTAACTAGAAAGAAGATAAATTACTGGGGCCAGCAGGTGGTGTGGTGGTTAAGGTGCTGGACTTCCACATGGCTGACTGCGGTTTGAGTCCTAGACCCAGCAGCTTGAAAATCATGCTGGGGATGTGTGCGTGGAGAAGGGATTGTGGTGTAGCCATCCTCCTTAGGGATTATTTCTCACTTTCTCTCTCTGTCTCTCTCCAGCAAGTGTATGCACCCTATGGCCAAAAAAAAGGTAAATTACTTGTGATCTGGGATTCTGTGTCTCACCTAGGACCTTGGAGCCTCTTGCACACAGATGACCTGAATTTCAGTAGGAGCCTTATCAAGGCATTGATTTATCATATGTTCATGTGATATTTTACTTATTTACTTTACTTTATTTACTTACTTTTTTTTTTTTTGGAGAGGTTTTTGCTATAGGGCGCGTTTGCTCACCAGACAGACAGAGAGAGACAGAGAGACAGAAAGCAAGAAATCACCCCCTGGGGGGATGGCCATGCCACAATCCTTTCTCCTCCATTCTCCTCTCGGGGTCTTGGGCATGCATGCATACGCGACCGGCGTGAGTTTTAAGTCACCGGGTCCGGTACTCGAACTGCAGTTGACTACGTGAGAGTCCAGCAACATAGCCATTACGCTAACTGGTGGTCCCCTTTTTACTTACTTTAATTTGACCAGAGAGGGACAGAGTGAGAAAGAAAGAAAGTGAGAAAGCAAGTCACCAGGTCCAGGACTTCAACTGCAGTCAGCCATGTGGGAGTCCACCAACCCCAACCACCACGCCACCTGTCAACCCTCTAAGATATCCTTAAAGATGTAATATTAACTTAATGATAGGTTTGTTTCAAGAGAAGAAACTCCTCCAGAATGTCAGATGTCTACATATCGGAGACATGTTTAAAGTGGCTTGTGGGGGTCAGCAGATGGTATAGTGGTTATGTTGCTGGACTCCTACATGGTTGACCATGGTTCAAGTCCCAGACCCAGTGGCTTAAAACTCAAGCTTGGCATTAATTAAAAACCTGAATTACACTGTGTTTAAACAAGTGCAGTTTTGTTATTTTCAGTGACACATCAGTTAATGAAGTCTATGGCCCACTTGAAACAGCCCACATTAATGACTAACTAGAGGGTTCCTATTTTACAGCAGTTCTTTTGAGGCACTTGAATACATTTTGTTCTCACAAGCCGTTGAAACATTCTTCCTTACCAATATTTTGAACTACTCAACCAAATCTTCTTTTCATCCTTAGGTAGACATGCAGGCAAACTTCAGTGGGTCGCTGTCAGATCAATTGCAGATTCTGAAAAGCTAGAATGGAATCATTTTTGCTAGTATTTTGCCCGTCATTTTCTCCTCCTTGTCCTCCTCCTAAGCCTCCTCCCCCTCCTCACTATTCTTCTTCTGATTTCCAGGAGGTGCGTGTACTTACCCAAGAGAGAGAGAAAGCCCCCCTAATGGGGCATGGTCACACCACAATCCATTTTCCTTTATGTCTCTGTCTCGTCAGGATTTGGGACAAGCACACACCCATACCAGGTATTCTTCAAGCTGCCAGGGCCAGGATTCGAATTGCAGTCCACCATGTGGGGTCCAGGTCCCCAGGTACAGGGCTCAGTCCGCTGCACTCCTAGTCTAGCTTATATTCTTTTGCTGTACTTGTGTACTGTTTGAAACAATAGCTTTATTGTTTCCTAGGTGTATTTAGCCTTCTTACCTAACATGTGAGTATTCTTAAAAGATAGATTGATTCATTTCACCTTAAAAACTAAAACTCTTGGTGTTCTGCCTCATACAGATTTCTCCACTGGAATATAAACCCTGTATCTTACTCCTGCTGAGCCTTAGTACCCAGAAAGATATCTAGTGCAAAGTGGTTACTCAAGAAATACTTGTTGAATGAATACATCAAAAGTTAATAACAGTTATTCATTTAAAAGCTGGGATTTTTTATTTATTTATTTATTTATTTATTTATTTATTTAGTAACAGAGGGCTTGTGTGATCGCCAGAAAGAGGGAAAGGAGAGTGATCACGCCCAATGGGGTGAGGATATGCTGCAATCCCTTTTCTCTCCATTTCTCCATCCTGTCAGGATTTGGGCCACACACGCACCTGCACCTGTTTTTCAAGCCACTGGGGCTCAGATTCAAACCCCATCGTCTATGTGAAATCCTCCTCCCTGTGCGTAGCACTTAATTGCTGTGCTATGAGGCCAGCCCAGGGGGCATGAGGAGATTTTTTTTAAAAGAAATTATTTCTAAAAAGTCCTGCCTTTCAGATCCATTCAATCAGAACCTTAGAGGTGGCACCCAGATGATCCTGAAACTGATGCAACTTTAGCGACCACTGAAATCTCCTAATGTGCTTTATTAATTCTTTAAATGCCTCCTCCTCTAAGAA